TTAAGTACTATATGCTCACTTTTAATTTGATGGATCTACATGTTTTTGTTGTTTTTTTTTTAAACTGAGACTTGGGCAATAAAAGACTGAAATTTTAACTGTTACAAATATAAGTGGTGGATCTCACTAGCTAAATTAGCAAGAGCCAAAACATTGGGTGTGAAAAAAAAATCCCCCTAATGTAAAGATGGGAAGATCTACTCTGTGACAGAAATAGTTGTAATTGTTTTTCAGTGTAAAATGACAGAGAATAGGTTTAATCCCTCATCTGCTGTAAGTTATCTAATTAAAAGATTAAGGAAATTGTGGAATTGGTTCATAATTCCAATAATAATTCTCAAAAGTGTTTTAAACTCCACCATGCACTCTTCCAGCTAATGAATAGGGAGCCCATTTAGCTTTAAACTTTAAATAATAATAGTGCACATAAGTAATTTGCACATATATGTTGCATGCGGAAGAATGTCCAATTCAGTTCAATTCATTTTCATTTATATATATATATATATATATATATATATATATATATATATTTCATATTGTAAGATAACAATATTAGAAAGAAATCCCAACCACACAACTCCCTATGAGCAAGCACTTGACGACAGTGGGAAGGACAAACTCCCTCTGGCAGAAGAGACCTCCAGCAGAACCAAGCTCACATCTGTCCACCATGACTGGGGGATAAGAGGAGAGAGCAAAAAGAGATAGGACAAAAGGCAAACTTTAGGAGAGAGAGAGAGAGAGAGAAGGAACGGCCATTTCTTTTATTCAGCAAGACAATGTCAAAATATTCTGTGCATATTTCATCAGCATGGAAGCACAGTAAAAGAGTCTAGGTACTAAACTGACCTGCCTGCTCTCCACACCGGTCACCCGCTGGAAGCAGTTGACACATCAGGAAAGGACAATACAAAAAATGTCATGTTTAGTCTTTTCTGATGCACGTAGGAATCAAATTCAAAATGAGCATATGTTTTTTTGCTTTAAATAAAGCAGCCACAGTTTTAACATTTGATATCATCTAAAAAAAAAATCTCACCTTCACCATGTCACAAGATAATTGTCTGATTGGGTTTCATTATAGCTACTTGCTAAATAGACACATTCTCATAAGCTGTGTGTTTGCCAACTCTTATTCGAATGTTCACAAAAGACAAAAAATATTCTACAAAAACATAAGTAATTAAGGTTTATTGATAATGTGTTTTTTTTAGAACAAAATTCACAAAGTGCTTTACAATACAGAATAAGATACAACAATTAAAACTGTATAAATAGATCAAACTAAATGAAAGCAAAAAGCCTGAACAGGCTTAAGTTTCTTTTTAAGGGTATCAACAGTGTCCACTGATCTTTGGTCTAATGGAAGTGAGCTCCACAACTTCCACTGGATATAAGATCTACATAGCTCAAATATGTAAGTCTCTAATAGACACTGGCTGCCAATCACTTGTTGGATGGGCATTTCACGCAGTGTTCCACTTACAGTGGGGCAAAAAAGTATTTAGTCAGCCACCGATTGTGCAAGTTCCCCCACTTAAAATGATGACAGAGGTCAGTAATTTGCACCAGAGGTACACTTCAACTGTGAGAGACAGAATGTGAAAAAAAAAATCCATGAATCCACATGGTAGGATTTGTAAAGAATTTATTCGTAAATTAGGGTGGAAAATAAGTATTTGGTCACCTCAAACAAGGAAAATCTCTGGCTCTCACAGACCTGTAACGTCTTCTGTAAGAAGCTTTTCTGTCCCCCACTCGTTACCTGTATGAATGGCACCTGTTTGAACTCATAATCTGTATAAAAGACACCTGTCCACAGCCTCAAACAGTCAGACTCCAAAATCCGCCATGGCCAAGACCAAAGAGCTTTCGAAGGACACCAGGAAAAGTATTGTAGACCTGCACCAGACTGGGAAGAGTGAATCTACAATAGGCAAGCAGCTTGGTGTGAAAAAATCAACTGTGGGAGCAATCATCAGAAAATGGATGATAATCTCCCTCGATCTGGGGCTCCACGCAAGATCTCATCCCGTGGGGTCAAAATGATCATGAGAACGGTGAGCAAAGATCCCAAAACCACACGGGGGGACCTGGTGAATGACCTGCAGAGAGCTGGGACCAAAGTAACAAAGGTCACCATCAGTAACACACTACAACGGCAGGGAATCAAATCCCGCAGTGCCAGACGTGTTCCGCTGCTGAAGCCAGTGCATGTCCAGGCCCGTCTGAAGTTTGCCAGAGAGCACATGGATGATACAGCAGAGGATTGGGAGAATGTCATATGGTCAGATGAAACCAAAGTAGAACTTTTTGGTATAAACTCAACTCGTCGTGTTTGGAGGAAGAAGAATACTGAGTTGCATCCCAAGAACACCATACCTACTGTGAAGCATGGGGGTGGAAACATCATGCTATGGGGCTGTTTTTCTGCCAAGGGGACAGGACGACTGATCCGTGTTAAGGACAGAATGAATGGGGCCATGTATCGTGAGATTTTGAGCCAAAACCTCCTTCCATCAGTGAGAACTTTGAAGATGAAACGAGGCTGGGTCTTCCAACATGACAATGATCCAAAACACACCACCCGGGCAACAAAGGAGTGGCTCCGTAAGAAGCATTCGAAAGTCCTGGAGTGACCTAGCCAGTCTCCAGACCTCAACCCCATAGAAAATCTGTGGCGGGAGTTGAAAGTCCGTGTTGCTCAGCGACAGCCCCAAAACATCACTGCTCTCGAGAAGATCTGCATGGAGGAATGGGCCAAAATACCAGCTACTGTGTGTGCAAACCTGGTAAAGACCTATAGTAAACGTTTGACCTCTGTTATTGCCAACAAAGGTTATGTTACAAAGTATTGAGTTGTATTTTTGTTATTGACCAAATACTTATTTTCCACCCTGATTTACGAATAAATTCTTTACAAATCCTACCATGTGGATTCATGGTTTTTTTTTTCACATTCTGTCTCTCACAGTTGAAGTGTACCTCTGGTGCAAACTACTGACCTCTGTCATCATTTTAGGTGGGGGAACTTGCACAATCGGTGGCTGACTAAATACTTTTTTGCCCCACTGTAATTTGCTGTAGCAGAGGTATTACAATTATTTCTGGACTAGGAAAAATAACAATTAGAAAACATCTATGTAAAGGTTCTTACCGTATAGTTTACAAAACAACAAGTACATGTGCATTGTATTAATTTGTAAATTTTTTGTGTATTTTTGATTTAGGGTCAATTGATTTTGGGTCAATTTCTGTTTTAGGAAATCTATTGTCTGGCTGAAGTTACAATGAGGCACATGCAAAAGAATATACAAACACAAACACATAGGAACACATTTCAAGTCGTATTACAACAAACAGCATATAACTGTCACCAATAATAATAAAAAAGGGTCAGTTTTTTAAAAGGAACAAACAAGACACAGAGGTTAAACCTTTTTGAAAACACTGACAACCTTTTTCTATATATGAAACAACACCATGTAGTTCACAAAGTTGTTGTTATGTGGAGAAAAAAAGGATTAACAACTATGAAATTGATATCCCAGAATATTCTGTGCATATTTTGCATATTTCGGCCCCAAAGTGTAGCCTTGATTTGTTTTTTTGTATTTTTGGAGGGGCGGTGATGTGAGCTGTTTTTGTTTATTTTTTCCCTCTGGGAAAAACTGCAATCATCTGGGGGTTATCACTTTATTTTTCCATCATAAGGTCAAGGTATTAGTTTGTTCAGTGCTTTGATTTATACCTAAATGTTTGGAAAACCCATGACACACCCATCAGCCACAGCTGCACTTTCTATTTAGCCAGTGCTTGTATGCTACAGGATCCTTTGATGTGTATGCTGGCAAACATAAAAGCAGGCTGCAAAAGTAAAACTCAAAAGTAAGACTTTTGCAATGAGTGATTCTACTTCTGTGATCTTCACCCTTTACCATTACTGCTTTTTTCTATTATGAATATCATTGATATCTCCAGGTAGGTTACATCAGTGCATAGAAGGTTCTGTTATAAATGAATTAAAAGCATGGGCTCTCTTGGTAGTTGCTGAAAATAACATCTTGTGCATCACATGGTTAACTGCTGCTAATTCACTGACACCACCGTATATATTAAATCAGAATAGGTGGTGTTGTATAAATTAGTGCTATAAGTTGTAAATCACTTGCACAACGTATTAACTAAGAGCGGGTGATTAAAGTGTTTCTCTGACTTTACAACATACAACAAACAAGTTTAACATAGCAGGGCTTTTTTAGTATAAGCTGGCTTGACAAAACCTAAAACTCCAGTTAGAGATGCATAATGCGTTATTACAACACTGGTTATCAGCTTTCCTTATTAAACCAGTCTTTGTGCTTCGGGATCTGTGCACGGTATTATGCAGAGTGCTCTCTGCCATTTATTTCTTCAGCATCACAGCTTCAAATTAGAGCTAAAACTTTGACCTTGATGTATTCAAACATTAGTGTGTTACCTGAGTACTGCCCCATGGCCTGAAATATCAAGATCAGGAAATCACATTAGGTTTTATTTATGGGGGGATCAAAGTGTTTTAATGTTACTGGGGTTTTTTTATGTTGCTGGGCTTTTTTTATGGTTTTTATTTTACTGTTCACCTCCTCACTGATAAGTAGCCTATAAACAGATTCCCCCCCCCCCCCCCCCCCCTTTTTGTGTCCCTTTTTTGTGTAGATAAAATTCTCATTCAGCAGGTTGCAAGTATAACACTTATTCCATATCAGCAATGAGTCTGCATATCACCAGGAAAAGAATGAAAATTGAAATGAAAAAGAATTTAGCTGAAAAGCTTGTTCTGCAAAAGCCAAATCACACAAGAGAAGTAAATTTTAATGATGCAAGAGATTCTTCCTATACAGCTGTCAATACAACTTAGATTTTAGAGAAATACATGATCCTTGCACTGTTTCTAACATCAAAGCACTGTTTCTAACATCAAAGCTAGGTTTCTCCTCAGATGAATCCATCCGAAAGGAAGGTTACATCATAGCTGTTGTTGTGGTCAAAGTATTTCTACAAGGCGTTGTTTTTGAGAAAATACTTTTAGGAGTTACATAAGCTAAATGTTTAGAAAAACTGAATCAGTGAGGTACACCACCCATTAAATTCATTTCAGTGATTGGTGAAATAAAAACATATATGTACAAACATACAGTATAAATAATTTACATCAGTATCTTTTGTAAAGTCTTGCCTCCCCCCCTCTTCTTCCATCCATCGTATTTTCTTTTTTGATTTAACAATCTCATGTTAAAGGTATGAAACACAATAATCCATGAGAAAATGTGTCTGAAATTAAATCAGAGCATTTAATGAGTGAGAATTTAACCTCACATGACGATGATGGTGACCACATTCTCCAACTCAATGCCATAATTTCCTCTGGGAAAATGTAATCAAGATGTGGCAATGTATGAATTTATGACAAAGTGAAAGAAGGTGTGTTTATCTGCAGCTTAATCAGTATGCCGTCTCTTTAATGATGTTAGTGGAAAGGGTGTGGCTACTGGAGATGCTAATGGAGTGGCGGTTGAGGGGGTATGGTTGATTCCTGTTTGTGTGACGGCAGGGCATGCAGAAGTACCGCAACGTGGAGAAGAAGATCTGACGGTAGGTGGCTGATACCAGGTTGTACAAGACAGGGTTTATGGCCGAGCTGACGTAGAACAGGACATTGGTCAGCATGTAGAAATAGTGGTAGAAGTCATATAACTCACTGGAAGAAAACACAAGGGAGAAGTATAAGGAAATAGTTATATGTCCAATGTTTAAGTCTAAACATAAATATATTACTTTTAATGCTTTGCATAAAAAAGATACACAGGTGCAGTGTGACTTGTACAGCAAAGTTAGTGCATTTGAACAGCCTCCGGAGCACCACATGGTGTCGAGACTCATCCAAAACTGGAAAAAAAAAATAATCTCAACTACATGTGGTACTTGTACTGCCGAAAAACAATAAAATCAATTAAAAAAAACATGGCAGTTTCAAAATACTAACTTTATTAACTGACATTCAAAATGCAATATCGACATAAAGATAGACTAGTAATGTTGCAGTCTTCATTATTTATTTTTTGCCTGACCCGTTTGGTTCTTTAGCCTTCAGAATTGATGTCTTAAGGCCAACAAAGATACCAAACGGATTTACTTTATCAAGTGGACCACCGGGGCCTTGCCTTGATTGACCTTTGTTGTTATTATTCATTTTATTTTATTTTATTTTATTTTCAGTTGTTACAGACGGGACAGACATGGCTAGGGGATAGGAAAACAATGGGGAGGGGGGGGGGGGGGGCTCCCCTGTGTGGGTGTGTGTGGTATAGTGGGAAGAGAAGAGGAAGGCAGTCGGGGATGGCAGTCGGGGATGGGAGGAAAGGAAGGGAAGGGAAAGCAGCCCCTCCCTGGGGCCAGCTCCCCCACTGACCCCAATAGGCACCCCCACCATCTGGAACCCACCAAGGCCATCCAGACCGGGGCCCATGGCAGCAGCACCGCCAAGCTCCACAGACCCGGAGCAGCCCACCTGACCCCACCGCAGAGGAAACTGTATCCACCCCATCCCACATAGCAAGAAAGTCTGGCCCAGATCTGGTATCAAGCCGGCACTGCTGGCTGACTTCTGGCATGATAAGACGTATGTCATCCAAATATGGGCCAGGCCTGGCATAGATGGCACTGTCTATGTGATGGCATGCCATATCTGGCTCTATTGTGGTTTGGATTATGTGGTCCAGGCCCATAGAAAACAGATCTGGCCCAGATCTGGCATCAAGCTGGCACTCATGCCCAGCCAGTGGGTGGCTGTAGCTCAGGAGCTAAAGCACGTCACCTACTGATCGGAAGGTTAGTAGTTCGATCACTGGCTCCTCCAGTCTGCAAGTCAAGAGTCTGAATGTGTAACAATGTACACATAACCTCAGCGACACACCAACGAGGACCCAAGGCCCAGCTAGAGCCCCAGCATGGAGGCGGAGCACCCTGAGAACCCCAAGCCCCCACCTTACACCAGCCCTGCTGCATGCAGCCATGAGGAAAACGCCATCTAAGAGCCTCCAGAGCCCAGTTGCAGCAGATGGCCGCCCCTCCCTGAGCCTGGTTCTGCCGGAGGTTTCTTCCTGTTAAAACGGAGGTTTTCCTTCCCACTGTCGCCAAAGTGCTTGCTCATAGGGGGTCATATGATTGTTGGGTTTTTCTCTGTATCTATTATCGTCCGATCTACTGTACAATATAAAGCGCCTTGAGGTGACTGTTTGGCGCTAGTAAAGTAAAAACCATGAGGTTTATATTTATTAGGTATGTGTGTTGTTGAATGAATGCCAAATGCTATCATTTTTCTGTTGAGTAAATTTACCTTACCTACAGGTATGAAGAAAGTTACCTTACCTCACCTTACCTTACCTTACCATGTGGACTGTATTCATTTCTTTAGTGACATCATCCAATTTGCCCAACAAGCACACTAAAGGGGAGGTTGGAATTTTACATTTCAGACACTTTGATAAGTCTTCACATATCCTGCGCCAAAACATCTGAACTGGTGGACAGAACCAAAGAGCGTGGATGTAATTGTCCGTGGATGTGTATTGCCTTGACAATGTTGCAGTCTTAAATACAATCTTTAGAACCTGATTACCCGCTGATTTACTGGGAATTTTAAGTTTTTGGTCTCTTACTCTTAATATCTTTAACTTGCAGACTTCAATTCATTAATTGTACTTACAGTGAAATTGTGATTTAAACAAATGACATAACAGAAAACGAGTAGTTTTGCAGTAAACAGTGCTAACTACTTTTCCTGAAAGTAGACTTAAATTCACCTCACCCCCCGCTATGTGCCAATTGTGAGGTGGGAACCTGTGACCACCAGGACTGTTAGGAGGTGGTCAGAGGAGGCAATAGCGGAACTACAGGGCTGTTTCGAGGTGACCGACTGGGAAACACTCTGCGAGCCTCACGCCGAGGACATCAATGGGCTTACTGAGTGTATCACAGACTACATAACTTTCTGCACCGACTCCATTGTTCCAGCTCAGACTGTTCATTGTTACCCAAATAACAAGCCGTGGGTGACTAAGGACATCAAAGCCCTCCTCAACAACAAGAAGAGGGCTTTCAGAGGGGGCAACAAAGAGGAGGTGAGGAAGATCCAGGTGTTACTAAAGGACAAGATCAGAGAGGCTAAGGACAATTACAGGAGGAAGCTGGAGTGGAAACTCCAGCAGAACAGCATGAGAGAGGTGTGGAGGGGCATGAAGACCATCACTGGATTCAGGCCAACCAACAGCAGGGGAGCTGAGGGAGGTGAGAATAGAGCCAACGAGTTGAATCTGTTTTTCAATAGATTCGACACCACAGTGTCTGCTCCCACCCCCACAACCTCACCTGTAGTCAGCCTGGAATCCAGAGCCACACCACTGTGCCAGCCTCTCTCTTCACATGGCGCTGTTGCCTCCAGTGAGATTCCTGACACCCCTCCCCCACCCATCACCTTCACTCAATACCAGGTTGAGATGCAAATGAGGAGACTTCACTCAGGCAAGTCTGCTGGACCAGACGGAGTGAGTCCCCTTATCCTCAAGACCTGTGCCCCCCAGCTGTGTGGAGTCTTTCATAAACTGTTTATGCTGAGTCGGAGTCTGCAGAGGGTCCCGGTGATGTGGAAGACATCATGCCTCGTCCCTGTACCAAAGACGCCACGTCCCAGTGGCCCCCAGGATTACAGGCCCGTGGCACTGACCTCTCACATCATGAAGACCCTGGAAAGGCTCATCCTGGACCAGCTGCGACCCATAGTAAGACCACATCTGGATCCCCTTCAGTTCGCTTATCAGCCTTGTCTCGGAACTGAGGACGCCATCATCTACCTGCTCAATCGTGTCTACACCCATCTGGACCAGCCGGCGAGCACTGTGAGGGTCATGTTTTTTGACTTTTCCAGTGCTTTCAACACCATCAGGCCGACCCTCCTGGGTGATAAGTTAGCAGCGATGCAGGTGGATGCTTCTCTGGTGTCCTGGATTGTTGATTACCTGACAGGAAGACCACAATATGTACGTCTCCCACAGTGTGTGTCTGACAAGGTAATCAGCAACACAGGGGCACCACAGGGGACTGTCCTCTCCCCCTTCCTCTTCACCCTCTACACCACAGACTTCAGCCACTGCACAGAGACCTGCCATCTTCAGAAGTTTTCTGATGACTCTGCGGTGGTTGGATGCACCAGCAGGGATGATGAGACAGAGTACCGGGCTGTGGTTGACTCCTTTGTCACGTGGTGTGAGCAGAATCATCTGCAGCTCAACGTGGCAAAGACCAAGGAACTGATCGTGGACTTCAGGAAGACCAGGAAACACTTGACCCCTGTTTCAATCCAGGGGGTCAGTGTTGACATTGTGGAGGACTATAAATACCTTGGAGTATACATTGACAATAAACTGGACTGGGCTAAAAACACCACAGCACTTTACAGGAAGGGCCAGAGTCGTCTCTATTTTTTGAGGCGACTGAGGTCCTTCAACATATGCCGGAAAATGCTGAAGATTTTCTATGAGTCTGTTGTGGCCAGTGCGATCCTCTATGCTGTTGCATGCTGGGGGAGCAGGCTGAGGGTCGCAGATGCCAACAGACTTAATAAACTGATCCGTAAGGCCAGCAATGTTGTGGGGATGGAGCTGGACTCCCTCAAGGTGGTGTCGGAGAGGCGGATGCTGTCCAAGATAAAGACAATGTTGGATAACACCTCCCACCCACTCCATGACATGTTGGTCAGTCACAGGAGCTCGTTCAGTGAGAGACTGAGATTACCGAAAAGCACCACTGAATGACACAGGAAATCATTCCTGCCTGTGGCCATCTCCCTGTACAACGCATCCACTTAACACACTGTTTGCTGCTACAACTACACGTTTCTTTTTCAGCTATTTATTTATAAGTGACTTATGTATGTATGTATGTATATATATGTATATATTGTACTATTCTTAGTTAGTGTATTGTCTGTCTTGTCTTAATGTTGGTTTAAAATGGAGCACTGTAACAAAAAATAATTTCCCCCAGGGATCAATAAAGTATTCTGATTCTGATTCTGATTCTGATTAAATAAAAACAGCTGCAAGGTGATGAACATTTATTTTAAACGTTATATTACAAAATTACAAAGATAATCATGACCATTAATATTTTGTAATGAAATGGTGTATTTTAAAGTTAACTAAGCTTCTTTAAATACAAAAATTACAAAAAATGGTGACATAGTAACGCAGGTTCTCTGAGTGGCGGGACTATATCACCGTACTACATATTTCATATGTATGTGTGGACTGATCTCGAACAGTATAACTCACATGGATTGTGTTTAAGACACACCACCTGTGGTGGCAGTGCAGTAATAGACACTTCTTTGGTAGACCAGACCTTAATAGGAATGTCTTTCTAAGCGACTTGTAGCTAGACTACATATTTCATATATAAGGGGACTTGAAAACGAGATTTACGAGATTCAGCTCATGTTACAGATTTACAGATTAAAGAAATAACACAATATATGCAAATCACTCAACAATAAATATCAAGGATTGAAAGAGGTGAGTAGAAATAAATATCAAGAAAACTGACAGCAACATTACCGAGTAAGAAAAGAGTGTATGCAAAAAGGATGTAACTATTGCAGTGTTTACAGTGTATGGAGGAGTTATACAGGGAGATGGCCACAGG